GGGAGAAGCAAGAAACACAAGTATTCAAGCCTTCTGGATCTTTCAGATATAAATCTCATATATCCTACATCTGTCATGGTTTTGTGTATTTGATAAGAAGCCAGTAGCTTTCTGAGTTTGTCCATGACAATGTGCAGTGCAACAAAGTACAAGTGAAGTACAAGTAATTCAGTCTCCAGAAGTTGTAACACAACAATCTGCCAGAAACGAGTGACTTTCAAATGGACGTGGAAATGAACTGAATTGTGTCACATGAACTTAAAAGCTGCAGCAGCACAAGGTGAGAGATGCTGCAGATTAAATGCATGTGTTGTTACACCTTCATAAAAACACAGCAGTTCAGTTTGTAACGAGTTCGGTTGGTTATGTAGCAGTTGGTAGACATTGGAAGGTAACACGACTATAACTGACTTTAATCTCCTGACAGAAATGTTAACTGAAAAATATCTGGATATACTGTGACATCGATTCAATAAACAATTCAATAAATAAAGTCTGAGTAGAGTTTGTTTTCATCAGGTCACAGCACAGCATTTCTTTCCACATACATTTTTAGGATTTGAAACATATCCACCATCATTACTCTGAGCTGTGACTGCAGCTTCTTCACACTTACCTGGACGTTTTCCAGAGGAAACGCTGCTCTGCTCTTTGGAAGAGTCAGAAAACATGACGTTGCTCAAGTTTCTCAAATATCTCAAGTAAAACCAAGATGTTGTGTGTTGTGAACGCTCTCAGATGTCTGAAGAGTGTGTGCACTGCTGCTGAGGGAGTGTGTGTTCTAATGTCTCCAGCCTTTAGAATAGAACACACTGACTGTGACATCACAATGAGGGAATTCTAAACAGCCAGGACTATGCAAATTAGTTCAAATAAATAAATAAATAATAATAATCCAAACAGGAATCATTTATTTCTATACATTGATTGTATATCCATCTTGTAGAAGAGGTCAGCTGATGAGCTGAAGCCCATGTGGAGCCCATTGTTTGATTTGCATGTTTTATATCAACACTTCATTGGATCATCACACCTCACACCTGCTACTGTTAGAAACAGTGATTTAAAAACAGAATAACAGATTGCTTTAGTAAAAAATGAGTTTTCAAATGTATTATTTATTTTTGTGTCTGCATTAATATGTACCTTTAAAAATAAACAACAACAACAACAACAAAAACCCCACATTCCCTGCTACAGTTAATTGTCATTGAATTCCTGGGGGCTGCAGGGTGGATCAGTGGTTAGCACCGTTGCCTCGCAGCAAGAAGGTCGCCGGTTTGCGTCCCGGTGAGGACACCCGGGATCTTTCTGTGTGGAGTGTCCGTGTTCTTCCTGTGCCCCATTCACACAGGACATACAACACATAACTCACCATCAGGTTATAAACAGTTTTGTTTTTACCCCGGGGTGGACAGTCTGGGCGTTCTCCTGTTCAGTCATCTCCAAACTCATCCTGCTCAGCATTAACCAGCAAAGGCCTTCAGACCTGTCCAACCTGGGCGGGGGGCCGACTGAGGAGACAGAAGAGGATGGGATCAGGAACAAGAAGAAGCTGGAGAGAACCCACGCTGCACGGGGAGAACATGGAGACTCGACACAGAAAGATTCCAGCGACCTTCTTGCAACAGTGCTACCAACTGCGCCACCTTGCAGCCCCTGAGTGTAATATTTTTTTTTCCAATTCAGAGGTAGACTACATGACTTTAGTATTTATTTCTTTATTTTAAAATGACAGAGTAGCACATAGGCCTTGTTGGAGCACATCTGAAAAATTAAGAACCTTTTGCATTTTCTTTAATTTTCAAAGTGCCTCAGTCACATTTACCCCTTCCAGTTTGCTAGACTGGGTTTAAAAAAAAAAAAAAAACAGCCTGTAAAAGTCAGGTTTGAGGAGGTGTCTTTGCTCAGAGTAGAGACGGGTGTATGGTGCAATAAGGAATAAGACCATGTCAAAGTTTAAAAGTAGCTGGTAGAAGTTTAAAATCAATTCAATATTTAACAGGGTGTAGTGCAGCAAGGATGGGCAGAAGACAGGAAAGGTGTGTGAACCTCAGCTGACTAAAGGCTCAAAAAACTCATGTTTTTAAACTGCAGGTTTTATTCTGGAACAATCTCAGGGCAGAAATTGAAGAAAAGCTCTGCTGACTGTAAAAAGTGACTTTGCTGCTGATCATACATTCATGTGTTGTGTTGTAATGTGCAACAACACATCATCCCTTTGACTTGACGCTGCACGTTAAATTACTTGAGTTTAGAGGAGCAGAAACACGTGGAGTTCTGCTCTGAAAATTCAGAGTAAGGCATCAGTGGCCATCATTCGTTCACTGTAGCTTCATCCACATGTGGATTGTGTAAAGAATGTCGGGGCTGAGTTTAAGAATGTCAACACAACAGATGCATACCTGCACTTTTCCTGTGAGCTCAGATGATGGCGCTATTGATCTGTGAGTCTCAGAGCTGAGTCAACATGTCAACCATGATGAGCTTTAGACTGAATGTTTAGTCAGACGTTTATTAATACACAAACTTTCACCATCATCTTGTTTTGTCAGGAACTAAAACCTGATTGTGTTTTTTAGTTCCTGTCACGATCACCATAATTATTCACCAGTGTTCTAAAAGGTAAGATATTTAGCGCTCTGAAGTATACATATTCATTCTAATATTTATTTTTCAAAACTTATAAAACATGTATTGAACATTAAAACCCAAATTTAATGAGACTTACATGAAAATTTGAGTTCAAAATAGTTGCAGTCCAAGTTAATCATTAGACTTAATGTCATTGAAACCTAAAATTAATAATAATTACTAACTTCTGTTTCTAAATGTTGGGTTTTTTTTGTAAAATAAACCATAAATGTCTTCTTAAAGTTTTTATCACAAATTACTCATAATCATTCCTTTGAAAAAAAAAAAGAAAGGCTTAATTATTCTGATGCCTTAATACCAACCTCATTAGTTTTTTTCCTAATTTTGGAATCAAAAATAAAAAGCAGAGTCACACTTCTTTGTATAAATAAGCAGGTTCATTTATTTGTCATTAGACTCACTCAGTTGTCAGATGTATAAATATAAAGTTAAACATTTTTTTCACAACAAACAAGCACAAACAGACAGAAACATTAAATACATAATTAATACTTTCAGTTGGAACAAATCAGCTCTTATCTACATAATATGTACACAAAGAAAAAAATGGTCCTCCGCTGCAGTGAGTGAAAATGAAAGAAATCTGTCGCTTGGACAAGAGGGAGGTCTGAACCGAGTTCAAAACTGATGGGAAAAAATCACCACAATCCTCATAAAGATGCAGTTTATCGTGTGTGTGAAGTTCAAGTTTGTCATTCATTTTAACTGCAGAAATGTCTGGTTTTATGCAGGGTTTTTTTTGTACAATATCACAGGATTATATCGTTCTTCTATCTCCAGAGGGAAACGAACAGCTGAGGCCTTTCAGATGGACACAAGTGGAGGAATGTTAATGGGTGTTTTTTTTTTTTTTTTGGCCTCCGTCCTTCATTAAATAGACTTACACAGAAAAGAAAAAAAAAAAAAGTCCATCTGAACGACTAAGCTCAGTCTTAAAATATTTTTTCATAACTTAAAATAAAATAACATTACAGCAAGAAGTGAACCGGTTTCATTTCATCTCCGTCTATAAATAAAACATTAAAGTGGTTTTGAGCCTCTTGTTTTACCAACAGGACGGGAATCTGGGGTCGACGTATGGAGACTAATTCCTGGTGAGAAAACAAATCAAAGCTGGCCATCCTGGAATGAGGTTTAAAAATGTATAATTGTTTCCTCACTATGATTTTTATCTTTGTGTTTCAGATTCCCCCCTTTTAGTAATTTACCTGCGTCTGTTGGAAAATGTTCAGAGCAAAAACTCCAAATGTTCACTTTAGACAATCACCTTGTTGCTTTTAGTTTACATTTTTTCACACAATATTTAAATTCCAGCTTTTATCATTTCCATTTTGTTAATAGTTATTCAATTAAGACTGAGTTAACGATAGTTTTGTGAAGTCCATCTCCTGAGTTTCCACACGTCTCAGTCTTCATCAGTGCATGCAGTTTGCTCTTTAAATCTATAAAATGTTCTCCACTGGCGAAGACTTTCTGATGTCATTTTAAACTCAAAACTCTCAATTCTATTTGTTTCTCGGCAGGAATGAACTTCCATATGATCAGCTAAAGGGAATAAATACAAGGTTGTTCAGAAGATTTGTTGCTAAATGAAAACTTTGCAGCTGATGCAACTGGGATGTGAAGACTCTGTAACTGGTGAAAATGAGCACTTTCATAGTGTGTGTGTGTGTGTGTGTGTGTGTGTGTGTGTGGGCAAGTGTTTTATAACTGGACGCTGTGACAGGATGTCAATGTCCCCGGTGCATATGTGTGTGTGAGGGTCTATAGGACTTGGTAGATCAGGCTGGGGTCCTGGCTGGCGGTGGGGGACGGGACTTGAGCGGGTGCAGACCCCGCCTCACTGACTGGGACTGTGGGTGGAGAGCCGGGGCCTTCAGCAGGAGGCAGCAGGCTGCTGTTGTCGGTGGAGATCCGCTCCACGATGCTGGACAGACAGTCCAGACTGGACACCACGGAGCTGCGGTCACTCTTTAGACCACCTGCACAGGAGACCAAACGTCAGTAACCATGGTTACTTTAACACAAACACTCGATTTACTTCTACTAAAGACATATTTAGACCCTGGCCTTCTCTAGCGTAACAAAAAAAAAATCAATAAATACAAATCTTATCTGTCCTTATTTTGGATTAACTGTCATTTTAACCTTAATGAGTTTACTCATCATCCGAGCTTAAAGCAATTATTATTTCATTATTTTTGTGTCTTAATTATTTCGCCTACATTACAAAAGCAGAACTGAGCAGACATACTCGGAGTATTTTCTGTCCTTTCCAGTTTTATTTCCATGAATTTACTGTAAATAAAATGATCGACTGCAAATATTGCTTTAGCACATGTTGTTTTATTTCATTAAAATTTTTTCTGAGTTGTGTCTGAATTAAACAAATAATAATTCATTTGTAATGTTATCAGTAAAATTTGAATACGTAGAGATTTTCCGGTGCATTAAATAAGTTTCCTTAATTTCTAACTCACAGAAGTATTTTAAAAAGGCTGGACATTGTTTTTAAGGCTTTCATGGCCTGTACTGTTTTCTTCTACTTGTCTGCTTTTGTTTTACTGCCAGAGGGTGAATAAAGTGGTTTATTATTTTAACTTGTTGCCTGATTACCTTTTTACTCAAACCCCTAAAAAGTCAAAGTCCTGGCTCACCGTTTGGCGTCTCAGAGAAATAAGAGCTGCTGTCATAACTTCCTCTTCTGGTGGACTGGCAGCTGGGCCCGTTGAAGTCCGTCTGGAGGAGAAGAAGAAACACTCTGATTTAGAAACGACATCGTCACCAGCAGCAACTACAGTTATCACAATATGTTTCTGAGAAAACAGTAAATGATGCTGTACGTGGATGAAAAAACAAAAAACAAAAACAGAAAATAAAAAAGGGAGAAAAATCCACATTCGAATTTTAAATAAATGTATGATAAATGATAATCCTTAATTATAATGTTTGTATATGATTTCTTTTGTTTTGTTTTGTTTTTTAAAATATTTGAACCACTGCTGAATATGAGCGTAAAAACAGAATTGGTTCAAACATCGAGCACAGATAAAAAAAAAAAAAAAAAATGTTCACTGAGGAAAAAATGTAAATCTTTTTTAAAGTGCATCATGAGCATTCTATGAATTTAGAAAATTGACAGAAGCTGATTTTTATTTCCTTCCTGACATTCACGGTCAATAATAACACACTCAGTGCGTAAAGGTGAAATGATTTGGACACGGAGCCTCTGTGACTAAACGAAATGCAAAAATAAATGGGATAAAATAGTATATTAGAGCCGAAACTACATTATACAAAAAAACAAAAACAAAAAAAAATAACAGGTGAAAGTCGAAATTTATTTGTAAAAAAAATGAATGGAAATCTGTGACACCAAACTTTAGTCTAAACAAACCGGAGGAATCTACGCACAACGCAAAAACAAAAACCAAATAATTAATCAATAAAATTAACAGTAAGCAATAAACTAAATCACAGACAGTGCACATGAAGCAAACTAACAAGTTGTCTGACGCACTGGACAAACTGCAGCCAAAGCGGCCCTACACACTTCTGTTACGCACACCTGTGGGTCCCTGAACTCACCATGCCGTCGGAGCAGTTGGACCGGGGACTGGACGCGTCCGAGTCCCCGTTGTAGTGCTCCAGCACCGGGTAGAAGCCTTCGTCCTGCCCGCCTCGCAGGAGCGCCTGCAGGGACTCGATGTAGCTGATGGCGTTGCGCAGGATCTCCACCTTGGGCAGCCTCTGGTTGGGGTTGGCCGTCGTGCAGCGCTTCAGGGTCTCGAACGCGTCGTTGACCTTGCTGAGCCGCCGGCGCTCCCGAAGCGTGGCCGCCTTCCGCCTGTCCGCGTTGGTGGTCTTCCGCTTGCAGGCCTTGCAGGCCCAGAGCAGGCAGCGGCCCGCCTGGTGGTGCCCGCTGGGGGCGCGGACATGCTCGTCGTCCTCTACGTCGGCGTGGTGGTGGAGATGCAGGAGGGAGGACGGGGAGGAGGAAGATGAGGAGGATGGGGAGGATGAGGACGAAGAGGAGGAGTCATCCGGCTTCAGCAGGCCCACATGGACCAGCCGCGGGTCCAGGTCCTCGAAGAAGTGCATGTCGCTGGTGTTGAAGCAGGGGTCATCATAGAAATCATCCGCGGCGGGGATGGGGAAAGATATATCCGACAACTCCATGGTTCAGTTCAAACACACCAAAGAAGAAGAAAAATCCAGTGAAGCAAATGTCTTCAGGCCAAATAGAGCTTTTTTTTTTTTTTACTAGGAAAGAAGAAGAAGGAGGGACAGAATCAGGGCTGAGATGTGAAACAGGATCTGTGTGTAGGGGAATGTAGGGTCCTGTCACAAACGGTTCTGGACTGTCAGCTGTTGACCTGGATCATCTTATACCTGGGACGCCAGTGGGGGGGCGGGGTCAACATGATGGGGTCCACCGAGGTCCGACCAATCAGCTGGCAGCAGGAGGGGTTTACAACTTCACGGTAATTAGTGTACAATTACCCCCAACATAGCAGTAAGAGCAGGATAATATACCTCCTCACCCACAGGGCCACATGGTGAACACAGGCCGCAGAGAAAATGTGGAGAAAGGAATAAAACAAATACCAAGATATAGTCACAAACTTTTGTTCTGCAGTGTCTCTAATTATAAGTCATTCATGTTCATTCAGTGAATGTCTAATGTGTAGGACTGTAGATAAAAGTAAAAAGGCAGCTGGAGGTACGAATAACAGTGTAAATAAAATATATCTTATTGGAAAGCAACTTCTCATTTGTAATTATCTATAAATAGTCAAAGTGAAACTGGGAGATTTTTAATTTTTATTTTATTTATTTATTTATTTTTTAAGTAAACCAGAAAACAGTAAGAATGGGAGGTTTTTGTTTGTTTGTTTGTTTGCTCAGTTTTTTATTATAAGCTACATTTTTTGGGGGCAGAAAATAATAATTGTAACAGCAATAATAATAATAGTAATAACAATGTAATAACCACAATTACATCTTTATAGGGATGTGTTTTCCTGCTCTAACTGCCGACCCTTGACTTGATTCAGGCTGAAAATGAGTCAAGAAAAGTCTAAATGTATAAACTAACAAAAACCAAATCCATAAAAAAAACAAAAACAAACACTAGTTAGATTTCTCTGTTGTTGTCTTTTGTGAAGAATAATCAAGAGAGCACATCCAAACACAGCCACAAACACTCCAAACAGGACTTATATATCATGTTTAAACTGAACCCAACATCATTTTTTAGGAGTGTACATAATGACTGAAACTGTCAGCTCAGTAATCCAGCTGAATGTCACAGAGTTTATTTTTAGATGGATGCAGTGTTTCCCGCTCTGGGCAGTCAGAACACATTCACTAACCTCCTTCCCTCTGCCTGGACTGCTCCTTGAAGCTGTCGCCGCTACACCCGCTCCATACAAAAACTTCAAAATGCATCTTCCACATTTACAGGAAACATGCTGCAAAGTCTGACATCAGTCGTGCAGCTGCAGTTCACTGCTGCAGTCACTGAAGGGCGCTGCAGAGTAGATCTTAGAGCTTCCTCCACCAGCTTCAGACTGTGATTGTTTCATTGGCCTTCGCCTCAGACCTGCGAGCTGTGAAGTGACTACCCATCCACCTTTGCAGTCGGAAGTGACAGATGGTTAGAGGCTGTATGCTGTGGATGCTTCAAGTGTTAGGGAAAGTATTCAAAGCCTTTACTCGAGGGATTATCGCTATCACTCCAAAAATGATTGACAGGCCTTTTAATACACGGACTACAACAAGTACAGTTAAGTTGTTAATGTTTGAGGATTTGCTTACATATGTGTAATGTTGAGAGAAAAATTATACAACAAATTATAATCTAGAAGTCGACATCTAATATTGTTCAATATATGCCTATTAATCCATAATTTATGTGGCAAAAAAATACAGAACAATCCTTTTGTTTTCTTTTTTTTTTTTTAAACTGTTAATTAATATATTCGCTTCACAACACAGTTTTTCCAGCCCAAACTATAAGAAGCGGTGCAAAAAAAAAATTATTGGTTTATTGAGTCAAATAGACACCCACCCTTCACACACACAAATTACTAGCAGTAGTCTTTAAAGAAATTACAGATTTTACAATATATAATTTCATAGAGCTCCCACACCTCAAAATTCAAATATAATATGAAAAATTAATACTAAATACTTGGGGAATGAATAATAAAAATAAAATACCATTTGGAACACACAAGTTCACAATGCGGTTATGCAGCAGGGTACTAGTGGAAATATATATATATATATATACTTGTCACTTTAAATCTGGTTATATATATATATATATATACTTGTCACTTTAAATCTGGTTTCATGTTTATTTACTTACAGAGTTTAAAAATGATTTGAACCTGACCCTGTATATATTTGGGATACTACCTGAAGATCTGATAGACAGAGACAGTAACTGCCTATGGAGAGT